TATATTTGTTTTTTTTTACAACTTTTTTTTACCTGCTGGTGTTCGGGCACCCTCCTGCACTCCTCCCACATAGCCTGGAAGAATCTTATGCATGATATCTGGAACGCACATGTACAGCACCACCTAGTGTAGACACAACCAAATCTCACAATTCTAGTCCAAAACCATTCAAATATTTTTCACTACCAATGTTATTTCGTATTTATTCTTATGTAGTTCTGCACACCTGAAATGTGACCCAGATTGCGTAGATCTTGGCAGCAGCCCATGTGAAGGAAGGGGCACGGTTCCAGATGGTGAGCAGGGTGGCTTCACTGTTGTAGAGGTCCAGTAACGGATGGCTGATGGAGCACTGGTACTGATCACATGCCATGATGAAGAAAAAGACGATGAAGGGGGCAAAGCACAGCAGCAGGATCACACCTGTCAGAGAGAACCAATCCACCTCCCTACAGAGATCAACAGATTGGTCATATGAGTCAAAATAGGATATTTGAAGTTTCTGGATTTTTAGAATTTGTGAACTGCAAATGACTGTTGTCAGTCTAAATTGTCATTATTCCACTGAAAAATTAATAAGATTACAACTTTGGAACATAATTTATGCATCTGATTTTTGTTTTTTATTATTACAAAATTAATTAATATTTTTTTACATTCTAGAAACACCATTACTTAATACCATTAACAAAGATTATTGCATTATTCATTAGTTTACAAATGATTAAACAGTTAATTCATTAATTTATATATAATTTGTCATGAAACTTTGATTCATATAATTTTGTATTTGAATCTAGTTAATGTGTGTCTGGTCTGTTTAGCAATAGCTCATTAAAAAAAAACAATCATTTACTCATTTACTCATGTCTTTTGAAATCTGTACAACTTTGCTCCCTCTTTGCAACACAAAAGGATGTATTTATAGCAGAATGTCCAAGGAGCTTTTTGTCCATACAGTGAAAGTGAATGATGAGAACAGCTGTCAATCAAGATTTTGTGTGAATACTGTCTTAGTTTCTGTTTATTCTTCACACAAAGACTTGGAATAATGTCACATGGACTACTTTCTACTTTCACTATTTCAGATTTTGTTTTTTTTTGTTTTTTTACTGCAAGCAAATTGGTTGGAGTGGGGGCTACTTAATGATGCTGTACATCACTTTATTTTAAAATGTCGACAGCATGACCCATTTCAGATGTGGTCAAAATAATAACAGTGGTTATATATAAACAGATTTTGAATATATAATCAAAATTATTGTTAGGGATAATTTAGCAGTCGATGGATATTGATAAGGACATGTCCTTACCGTTCCTATTAAATTCTATTCTCTTGACTTCTTTTATGATAATTTTATGGTTATATATAGTATATATATTAGTATAGTTTCATTGCAGTTGATTGCAAATTAAACACTGGAACAGAGCAACCAGAACATTATTCGTAGTTAGCTGAGCTTTTGGGTGGCTCACACAAGCACAAGTGGCTGAACACAGGAATAGTAGTTTAAACCTTTTTAATCCAGGAAAATGTTCATCAGTTATTCACTTCAAATAAAAAATACTACACATGCACTATATATTTTAATATTGAACCCGATCAAACAATGTTCTGTGTGTGACTGAATTAGTGCAGTAATGCAGTGGCTGTACAGTTGGAGCAGTGGCTTACCATGCTCTTCCCCACTGTACCGGCTCCTCTGCATGGTCTTTCACCCCTGCCCGGGCTCCATTGGAGCTGCCCTTATGGCGCTTTCTCACAGCGTCGGCTGTCGTCATGATGTCTGAGGGAGTGAGATTTAAAAAGCACAGAGAAAGAGAAAAAGAGCATAAAAATAACATCTGAGATGGTCTAGCATGAGCGTATAAGAGGAGAACAAAGTGCACTGCAGATAACAGATAGCAAACAGAAGATCTAGGTGTTATACTGTATATGTGCTAAATATGATAAGTTCATGATTTTAAATAATGATTATAACATAACGTATCACATATAATCTCAGAACCAGGCCAGGGTTGTTTCCTTTAGTGTGATGATGACATATAACGTTATCTTTCCAACTGATATGAGGTTGTTAATTGTGTGCTTATGTTATGCAAGCAAAGACAGATTCTCTGCATGAATCTATTTTCAGATTACGGATTTCCAGTCCACTGAAAACTCTTCTTGTCTCTTATTATAGGCATAATAACAAATATTCATATGAATAACACCAAGAGAAATGTTCCACTCAGCATTATATGATTTAAAATATGCAATAGCATAATAATTAATGCAACAAAAATAGCATACAGTATAAGAGCATCAATAATAAGGTGCATTGGACAATACTAAACATGCTGAAAACTATGATAATCTAAACAAAATCAATTTCAGTTACGGCATCATTTCCACTACAACTAAGAAAAATTGCCCTAATATTTCTTTAAAAAAAATGTCCTTGTTTACCAAGAAGACAACATTATCACTGAAGATCATGTTTGAGATGAAACAGAAGGCACCAAGGAAGGTAAATATTCTTATTGTACTTCATTTACGATCAAGCTGGAATTTTATCAAATCAAACAAAAATATTATTTGAGTGTATTTAGGATACATTAAATGCTAGTTAGTTGTGCCATAGATATCTATGAGATATGTATCATCATCATTATTAATAGACACAATACATTATTTGAAAAAAGTGTACACAAACACCCAATCATGTGTCACGCTGATTTAACGTCAGGTGTAACGTCTTCTGTTCTGCCAAAGTAAATGTGCTCCTTGAGCTAAATGCGACATAAACCAGTTTAAAGCGAAATATGACTCCAGTCGTAACATACTTCCTGGACTGTAACATTATAGTCATATCAATGCCATTCTCCAGTGTGATAGTTGTAATTACCCCAATAAAAAACGATCATTAAGCAGGATGCAGACACTAAAAAGTATTTTGAAAAGGTGTGTGTACATACAGCGCTCGAGAGAATATGTGCAGTGTTCGAACTATACCGTGGACTTTGGAGGAGCCCACTTTAACA